AGGGTCACATCTAATTATATTTATATCAAATTCTTATCGAACACTGTTCACCTGTGATATTGAGCACTGTTCACCCACGACATCTAATTGTATTTTTATCAGATTCTTTTCACGTTATTGTTCGCATGTGATGTCTATACTAGACGTTATTGTTCACATACGATGGTTATACTAGACGTTATTGTTCACATGTGATGTCTATACTAGACGTTACTGTTCACCCATGACATATGATTCCATTATCATTATATATATAGTGTGGGTTTGAGGTTTCAAAATGCACCATCCAATTCACTTTCATAACATTTTCTACTTCTAACGGATCATCAAAACCCCAGGTTCAATTTCTCCCAACCTTCATCCCATAATCCAAATGATGATGCACAAAACATAAATCCTCCTACTCCAGTGTACCCCAATCCTAACTTTCCTACGATGAACCCTAACAATTTTCAGATGCCAATGCACCAAAATTCAAATTCCCCAAACTATCCACTAAATTTTCAAATGCCATTTTACCCAAATCCTACTATTACTCCTTCTCAATTTTCATAATTTTCTACACAACCAAATCTCGTGCCGGAGCAAGCAAGCGGTTCTAAAAATGAAAAAAAACGATGAACAACCAAATATGACATATTGTTGTGTAGTGTTTGGCTCAACATAGGCAAAGATGCAACAATTGGTACGGATCAAAGTAAGCTAAATTTTTGGAACCGTGTACTTGAATATTACGATGTGAATTGTAATACGAGTTCGCAAAATAGTAGGAATCGTCAAGCACTTCAAAATTGTTGGAGTCGATTGAATCATGTGTTTGAAAGATTGTTGGTTGTTATGAACAAATCCTACACCGACGTGAAAGTGGGTTGAATGAAGAAGACAAAAAAAAACAGGGCATTAGAGTTATATCGCTTGTTAGAAGGTGGAAAATTCAATTTCTTACATGTTTGGGTTGAATTGTGTGATCAAGAAAAATGAACCAGTCAACGAGAGAGACCTATAGAGGTTGATCTAGTAGAAGATAGGGGGTCAAAGAGAACAAAAAATGATGGCTCGGCCCAATACACCTCATCATCCTCAAATACAAACATGTTGACCCCTGATCTAACGTCGACTGCTCGCCAATGGGAGGAAAGCTTTAAAAGATAAAGGTATTCGGAAATCTTTATCAACTAATTCTATCGACCGTATCAAAGAGGCGATGAAAGAACAATTCAATCTTGATGTTGAAAAAAAAAACAATAAACAAATATATTGAAGTCATAAAAGAACGAGACAAAAAGAAAGATGAATGAAAAAGAATAAGAATTGAATCAGGTTGATGAAAATAAATCTTTCAACTATGACAGAGCAACAACGAAAATTATACGATAAAAAAATTCGTGAACTTTTAGACGAACAAAGATGTAATTTTATTTATGTTGTTTTATTAATCGCGCATTTTATATTAGTTATATGTAAATTTATATATTTGATTAATTGTAATTTTATGTAAATATAAAATTTAATGTTTAAATTAATTTAGTTATATTATATNNNCAATTTATTTTTGGTTTAACAATATAATTTTTTATAAAAATAATAAATTTAGTATTCTGTTTGAACTCAATGATTATTCTAGTTATATTATATATTTTTTTAAATAACATATATACATAGAATATTTTCATATAAGAATAATTAATGTAATTAATAAATATATTAATATTATTAGTTTATAAAATTAATTGTTTGACATTAAAAATTAATTTATTTAAATAATTAGAAAAAAGAAAAAAAGGAAATTGGAGAGGAGGTTGGTGGCCCACGTGCTTTCAATGTCAATTGCAAATTTTGTAATTATTTTCCTACATGACAGTTACAATTCTGACAAAACTTTATTTGTAATTCCATTTACAAGGCCTATGTGGGTGGTCTAAATTAACCTCCTTTTCTTTTTAAAATTGACAAAGTAAAAATGTGTTTGTGTGAAATAGAATATGTAAACTATGCATGTATAATCATCATACCGTATTCCAAGACTGAATCTTATATGCGGATAAAGCCCAGAGCACGAAATCTAGCCATTCAATGGTTCTTTAACCCAAAAACCTGATATTGTCCAACCGATCCTCCAAGGATCACGGATGCATAGATATAAAGGCTAGAGGTTGATGCCAACCGGAGGACACGAATAATCCCCAAGCTAGTTCAAACAACCGAGCACTCAGATCCATAGATGCTTGCCAACCTTTCTTTACGACCAGTGGAGCAGTGACCCAAAGTGGCCCATGGTTTGTTTTCTGCGTCACTAACTAATATTTATATCTCTTATTTTTATAAATTTTACTTTTACTGTTGTTTACTTGCTACTATTTTCATTATTTATTTGTTTGATCGTTGGGACTTGATTTGACTTGTATATCTGGCAAAATAATCATTATCCAAGTTAGTAAATACTTAGCATCAATGAGTTTATTTTTAGACAGGAAAAGTCAAAAAAAACACCCAACAAATTATCTATACTATATTATAAAGCATTTGATAAAAACTTTTAAAAACAGTTTTTGTTACATAAAGTAATGTTTATTGATGCATATTACTTAAAATTCAAGATTACAAGTAAATAATGTACAAGTACAACTTATTAAAGCTTTGTGCTTGAATTTGTGTAACTAACTGCAGATAAACACAATCAAATATTCGATAAACATTTCATTCTAAATATGAAATATCTAGAATATAATTAAGATAATCATTGTTTTGTAACAAAACACTTAATTATTATCTTTATAAAAAAATATATTACTAAATCAAAAATAAATTACTTCGTTATTTAACTTAAAATAAATTATAATAAAAAATGAATTAAAGAAATTACACAACAAAACAAAAACTTTTAAATAGTTAATTTGATACTAATATCTATATTATTTTTTTCCAAAATTTTAAGATATCTTCAAATTTGTATTTTATTCAAAAATAAAAATATTTTCATGTTTTCTCAAAACCACATAAAACCGTATTATAGCATCGATAGGTGACAAAATAAAACGAAACGTTAAAATTGAGATGTATCTCGATGCATTACGCAAGTACCTTTCTAATTATTTTAAAAGGTTAAGTCGTTAAACTATTTTTTTTTCTTTTAGCAAATAAATCCTTAAACTTTATAAATCGAACAAATAAATCTTTAAACTTACTTAAACAGAGAAAAACCCAACAAACTTTTATATTTTCAACAATTAGGTTTCTTAATTTTGTTTCCTATTAAAAACCAATAAATTAAGGCTATGTTTGGCAAACTAACTGATAAGTTAATTGATGTTTGATAAGCTAGCTGTTAGCTTATAAGCTAATTGGTAGCTGATGAGCTAGCTGATTAACACATCATTTTTGACAAAACTAACTGATAAGAATATAAAATGACTAAAAATAACGTCTTGAAAATTAATCAATTACAATATTTTAAAATCTAATTTAAAACAAATCTCTAATAATATAATACAGTAACTGACAGAAACAAGATGGTAAAAAAATTAAAAAATATAATATATTAATTAAAAGAATTTCAAATTGATTTATATTATAT